GTTTTCTTGCGGTTCAAAATTGATTGGAATAACGATTTCATTATTCGCGACCCGAATGGTAAATGTCATATCCAAATAGTCGATTCTGCATTTGAATTTCTTATTAAATTCTTTACCAATGATTCCATCAGATGGAATGTTGAAATCGTTGGGTACGACGTGGAACTTGTGTGTGAGCGTGTAATCTGGTAAATAAATGTCTAAAAATACTGTACCGTATGACGTGATTGGTTCATTAGTAACACCCCTAATTAAAATTTGTTCGGTGTCATCAATTTCAGTGTTTTCATTTAATGCTTCATACTTTATGACCGATATGTCCGCTTGTGTATCGGACAGAAAAGATGACTCTTGCTTGATTGTATCGCTACATTTTAAAGTTAAAAAATCGGCATAATTCAGATTGAAGCTATGAATATGTTTTGACTTTTTTAACTCTCGTTTACTCTTTGGAAGGTGACGATTTGGCCTTCCTGTGCCCGCCGGTCTCCCGACGGGACTGTCCCGTTTTCCGAATTGGTAAGACGCACCGAGAAACGATCATTTTGATTGTTGTAGTTGCGGTTGCCGTAATTACGACCACGACCGCGTCCACGATTACGATTTGCATTGAAATTTCCATTGAAATTTCCACCATTACGGCCGTTCGAATTGTTACGCCAATTACGATTTTGATTCTGATTTTGATTACGACCAGAGAAATTTCCACGACCATTACCACGATTTTTGTTTTGTTGCTGTGAAAATTTGAAAACTTGCCTTTCTTTCACGTCATTGGCACTTTCAACGACAAATTTAGCAACAACTTCTTGTGGAGTGTCAAACGTCGATGAAGCAAGAACTGAACGAACGAGATTCGATTTGGCAGTTTGGCGGCACATTTCGACAGTTTTATCAACTGCCATCGATTTGGCCTTTGCTTGGGAAATACCTTCCATAATCAAACTGTGCTGAAGGTCGTCAGCAAGCTTTTCAGCTTCTTTTTTAAAATCCATCGTTTTTGCATTATCAAGTTTCAATGCCATCATTTTTCCCTCTACCACTTTGGAACTTTCAGTTTTGATGCCGGTTTCAAGCGCAGTGATAATTGCATCAACATCTGCAGGGACTTGTGGAGCAGTTTGCAGTGCTTTACCAGTCAATTTCGTCATCACAAATGTTTTGAGAATGTCCAAATGCGTAGGACCGACTTGTTTGAGAAATTTTACCGAATTAATGAAAGCTGGAAGATCGCGAGGTTCGCCAGAAAAATTGCTGTTTAGCGTTTTGGCGGCTAAACCCAAAAATGCTGTTTGCTCCATTTTGTTACGTGGTGGTCGATTTTTATCGTTCAAAATTGGTTCTGTTTTCAAGTCTGAGGCAGAAGTATTGGGAGTTTCAATCGAAAGAGCTTCTGCTTTATCAGAATCGTCAACAACCCCTTCACCTACAATCGGAGTATTTGAATCGCTCGACTTATCACGCGAAAGTTCAATTAAATTTGGCAGTTCACTTTCTTCAACTTGGTCTAACAATTGAGAAGGCAAAGCATTTTTTATTTTCAAAGCATCATAACACCTACTTAATTTGTCGCGCAAATCATTTATCTCGACAGTCACATGTGTTTTATCATCAAAAGTTTCAAAATATGACGCAATGTATTCAATGTACTCGTTGTATGCTCTTACTATTTTCAATTTGTACTCTTCATGTTTCACGGGATTCTTACTAAATTCCTGTTTCAAAACCAATTTGGTTTGCGCTATAAAATTCTTCTTAAAATTTTCATGTGTTCCCGCTTTATAACTCGACATGTGACCGTTGTTTTCTTATGTTTATGTCTGTGAATATGCTTTTTATTGTGTCAGCGACTGCATTTCTACTGTATTACTGGGCAATGTTTTTTTTCTACTTAATCTGATTTATCAACATTAAAAAAAAAATGCATAGTTCGCTTTGAAAGGAATTTGTCGCTACTTATTATAATGTCTCCTTCGAGAAAAACAAATGAAAAGATATGAACAATGAAAGAATAAACGCTAAAACGACTACGGCACTGATTACATATTCATGCAACGAAACGAAATTGAGAATATACCGCTCAAGGAAAAAATAAACTAAAGTCGTTGATTCTCCATTGCTCTATATCGAATGAAGTCATAAATATTACTTTTTATCGCTGTTTGCATATCGTCGCGAAATTCGGCTGCGATGTTTACAGTTGTCCAAACAATCACCGATCACGGGTTCCACGAATCGATGACCATTAGCGATAAACAGCGTGATGACTCACAGTAGTGTGATTAGTGTTGGGCGTTGGCTACCTTCGATGTTGGCTCTCCCCAGCTGTCGTCGTATTTCGTTCAATTTCCAAACCTCAGTTTTTGGACCAAAATTCGTCTTTGACTTCGATGAGAGAACAATGTCGTGTGATGCTATGAATATGCGTTAACAATCAACACGAATGTTCCGATGCTTCGATTCTTCCGATCATTGTGGTAAAAATCGGTAAAATAGCTGGCTCTTTTTTCTACGTTCGACTTGGCTCAATTCACTCTCAACTCGATTCTCACTTGATTTTATCTATGATTACTTGTATTATTTCACATTTTGTGTCTGTCTTTGGTTTTTTATTTCAACTTTTTTCAATGTTCATGTTCATTTTATTGTTTTGCTGCGTTTTTAAACGGTCTTTGCTTTATATTTTGTCAATTGTTTTTATTTTATTTCGATGATGTGTTTTAATGTTTTTGTCTTTAGTCGATGAAATGACGCATTTTAATGCTGAAACACAATTTAATGTTTGTTTTGCTAAAGCCCAAGTGAAATTATTCGATGAAATGGTTCGATTTAATGTCTTTTTCAATTAAAAGTGGCGTATTTCAACAGCCAAATGTTATTTTGTTCAAGTTTTTTTTCTATTTTGTCGACGATTTTCCTTCACTGATTGAATTCTAGTGAACACACAGAACTGGGCTGATCGCAGTTAATTCAATTCAAGTCGATTAAAATGATCTTATTATTTTTCTGTTTCACTTTGATGCAATGAGCTACGATTTTTACTTTTTCGGATAAATAAAACTCAGAACTTTTTGTTCGACGTTGATTTGCTCTTTGCAGAAACTGTTTTCAGACAAAAATTTTTATGAATGTTTGATAAAATGACTTTTTATTCGATGATTTAGAACGCCTTTTTCTTCACTTTTTGCTTTATTATGATGGTGTATGAATTGTCTTTCAGTTTTTATTGTTTTATATTATTTTATTTTATTGTAACTTATTAAAAAAAAAATCCGAGCCGGAATCGCCATGTAGAATAAAAGACTTACTTATGATGTGTCATGTACGGCTGGAATGTAATATTTATATATGTGAGAATACAAACACAACTGGTTGGGTTGAGCTCTGTGTCGAATCTACTTTATTAACCGTTCTTGATACATTTCATAGTATCGGCGTGCTTGCGTCAACGGCATGCTTGCGTCGTTGCGCTACAGTATCCAGTACAAAAAAAGATGAAAGGAAAGAGTAGGATAGTTGTTAGCCTTGCCATGACTCCTATGTTCGGTCAATAAAATAAAAGGGAAGATTTTATATCTCTATAGGACTAATAATGTGGTTACGTCGCTTAGGTTAAGCGTTCGATCGATAATTCTGGTATTTTTTCCATTTTTTCTTGTTGGTTAATCACAATATCAGGAATCACTTCATTATAAATGTTGAAGTTTTCATACAAATTAATTAGTACCGCCGCCTTCAGTAACTCGCGCGAAAACCGACATAGTGCAGCATAGCACACCAATACCGACACAACAAACCACACGCACACAGACACGAATGATATTTAGTCATAATCTGTTTTGAATGCTGTCGCTGTTATTCTCGGTAGTTCTTTGCGAAACTAGTATGCAACACTAGAGGGCTACTAGTATGCAATAGCTTGACTGTTCAACAACTAATACATTATAAGTGTATAAGAATATTCCGACTTTGGTTAATCATTTCCCCATTTTGATAAATTATTTCCCCATTTTGGGGAATCAACCTTTTTAAAATTCGTCTCCATGAGAGTCGTAACGCTGACGCAATGCATTTCTGGCCTATGACATCAAGCCAGTATCAGCTGCGTATGCTGCGTCATCAAAATCGTGATAAAAAATCGGTATGAAATGTCACTATTTCCGTGTGGATGATTTTATGGAAGGATTTGCGACCGACCCATGCGGTATGTTTATTATCTTATCTTATAGAAAATTGGTGCATAGAGTGTGTATTTGCTGCTGAGCTGAATTTGTCGACTCAGGTGCCTAAAGCATTATATACCCGGTTGAAGTGCATGATAAAATGCATATGAATGCTTGTAATGATGATAAGCCGTTTGGAGGCTGATTGGTACAGCGTTATCAAAATTATGATAAACAGAACAGCGAGAGAAGGGATAAATCCAAAATGATACAGTCTGTTCACAAACGTCTACGAATTAAGTCTTAGAAATGAATAAAAATAAGTTGAAAAATAAATAAAAGCTATTTTTAGTTGTAACTGAGAAAAAACCCAACATAATCAAAATCAAAGATAAAAAATTACCCAAGAAATCAGTAACTCTAGATGGGAAAACCCGGTTAATAATCAGATGATTTATGGTCAGTAAATCAGCAAAAACCTTATCATTAAGATAATTTAAAAAAACCAAGTCCAATCTACTGATTGGACGAAGGAAAAACCCAGAAATATCAATTAAGAATCGAGTCAACATAATTAAGAAAAAAACATGAGTCATAAGAAATCATTGGAAGAATTATTTAAGAAAAGATGGCATTTAAATAAGCATAAAAAGCGAGACATTAAAAAAGGCAGTTCAGAATAGAAGCTCAAGAAGAATAATCAAGTTGAAATAGTTAAAATCATTCTTTGTTTTTAGATTAAAAGGGAACAAGTTATAGAGTGTTTGAATAAAGGGAAAAGGAGAAGAAGAAAAATACTAGTGTTTTATTCATAACGCTTTCATTAGTTGACAACAAATGGGTTTCGAGGAAAAAGTTGTATTAATCACTGGAGGAAGTAGCGGTATTGGTGCTGATGCTGCAATTCATCTGGCCAAATTGGGTGCAAAAGTTTCAATTGTAGGTAGAAATGCAAAAAGACTCGAAGATGTGGCAAAACAGATTAAAATTGCTGGCGGTTCAACTCCATTGGAAATTGTGGCTGATGTGACAAAAGACGCCAAACGCATCGTTGATGAAACAATTAATCACTTTGGAAAATTGGATGTATTGTTGAACAATGCTGGAATTACGAATAACGGTCGAATTCAAGACTTGAAAATAAAAGATTTTGATCATTTATTCGATATAAACGTTCGATCTGTCATCATCCTGACCCAACAATGTATACCACATCTTGAAAAAACGAAAGGAAATATATAGGATAATCTAAAATGGTAGTCTAATTAGGATAAATCTAAAATGGTCAGATAAGGTCTAAATTGAACCGAAGATTTTCTAATTTGGCCCGACAAAAATGACAATTTGAGCAGATAATTTTATTCCAATTTGTCCAGATAAATTCCAAAAAAAGTCAGAGAAAACTCTAGATTGAGCAGAGAAAAATGGATTCACTATTTTTCTGCTTTTGACAGACAAACTTGTCCAAAACGGTCAGATATATTTCCCAAAATGATCAGATAAAATCCTAATAAAACCAGATATACTTATTCGAAAATGTGCAGACTTTTTCTGATTTTGGTCGAAGATATTCTAATTTGGCCCGACAAGAATGACAATTTAAGCAGATAATTGTATTCCAATTTGGCCAGATAGATTCCAAAGAAGGTCAGAGAAAACTCTACATTGAGCAGAATAAAATTGATTCACTATTTTTCTGCTTTTGACAGACGCACTTGTCCAAAACGGTCAGATATACAGAAAAATATTTCGAAAATGAGCATAAATGAGTTCCGGTTTTTTTGACATGTACTGTATAACTAACGAAAACGAATTCTTTAGAATGTAAAAATAATGCAGCGATAAGGAAACGATATAGATGCTCATGCTAAGAGCAGAGACAAAAGTGAAAACGCCACACGGTTACGAGAAATAGCGACCGTTAAATGTCTAACGCATTGCGTTTAAATGCAACAACAATAATATTGCGGCATTTCAATTACATATATCACATAAATACTGACAAATACTGAAAAATATGTAGTTAAAATGCTTCAATGTGTGTGTTGTTGCGTGTGTTAAACGCAGCGCGTAACACATATAACTGTCGCTGTTTCTCAGAACAGTGTAGCGTCTTCACTTTTTTCTGTGCTCTGGGCCTGAACATATCGTTCTATATCGTTTCATATCGCTGCAATTTTTTTACATTTTGAAGTATTCGTTTTTGGTCTTGTTAATCAATTTTTTTAGTCATCAGTTTTATTGTGATTGTGACTGTGATTGTGTTAATTTTAAAAATATGGAGGGTGCAAAAAAAAGAAAAATATTAACGCGAAATTCGGCAAAAAAACAGAAGAAGCAGCAGCAGCAGCAGCGGCGGCAGCAACAAACAACGAACCGACAAAACGAAAACGGGCCAAAGCCATCGAGGTATGTTTGTTTCGTTGTGTTCATTTTTGGTTCGCCGCTTGAAATCAACCATTCACTTTCAATGAATAAAATTCTGAACAATAATTATATTCATTTCAATTATTACATTGTGATAAAAATTTAGAAAGAACATTGATGACTCAT